GGTTCGTGGTCATCGCCGACCACCATGACTGAGCATTTGTGCCAAGAGAGGAGATGGTGCCATGTGCGGCATCACTGGGAGAAGGCATGTAGGTCGCTCTCTAGGAGCTCAAGCACGATATCACGATCTACTGGCTTATACGTATATGCCATTTTAAGATCATCGGCCTACATGAAGGTCTTACGACTCTTAAATAAATTTTGCAGTTCGTTAACAAAAAGGTAAAATACTAGCGGGCGGAGTACACTACTCTGAATGACTCCACTTCCCACACATGTGGAGTTGGAGATGGCATTGGAAACCTTGACTCGTTGCGTGCAACCAGCCCGACAAGAGGATATAAAGTTCAGAAATTTTGCAACCTATTCCAATAGAGGAAGGTTTCAAGAGAAGAAAAGCATGGCCAACACGTTCAAAAGCCTTTGTGAAATCGAAATAAACTGTGTAAAGCGCATAACCATTATCCCAAGATTGGAGAACATGACCAAAGAAATAGAGCTGACAGGTGTGACAAGACCGAGCTTTGAGGAATCTATGCTGAACATCAATCAGTAGGTTATTCTCTCTAAAGTGACACATCATCTTATCTTTAATCAATATGTCTTATATTTCGAGGCTGTGCGGAAGGTGTTTATTCGCCGAAAGTCGTCAGATGACGTAGAGTGACCGTGCTGGGAGATAGACAGAATGTATGATTCCCTCCACAACGTAGGATAGGTTTCAGTTTCAAGAGCGAGAATAAATATCTTGCACTGGAAGGACGAGAAAAGTTCATTTGCATCTGCCATCAGAATGCTAACTGGGATGTCATCAGTTCCAGGGCAATGAGAATGGAGAAAACGCAAGAATCGCTACAGTCACGTCCCATAGGGCGGAAGTTATAGTTTCAAGAACGGTCGGAAGCGGAACTATCGAAGTTTACATGAACGTTTCGGATAATAAACTATCGACTGTCAATTAGGCATCAGCTATAGAATTCCCGAAAGCGTCTCAGAAGATGAGTTGCTGCCTTTTCCTATAAGTTCGAACATTTCAAAGGAAAATTGTCGAGATTTTTAACGAACGATTTTCTGTCAGCTGGACCTCTTCAGCAACTTGGAGCCAGCAGCTGCCCTCTACCGCGGAAAAATGCGGGAGGTCCAGCAGCAGAAATGTAAGTGAATGCTAAGCGTAGACACAATTGCTCCCACCACGGCAGTCTGGACGATCATTTCGAATGCAAATAAAGCCTCGACGAGAGAGTTCAGAATCAGCTAGGAAGCTGTTGCCGATGCCTCAGTTACTAAGTCAATATCTGGGCAATTGATGAACACCAAATTCTGAAGCAGAGTCATCTTATTTAGCAAGAGCAAAGAAAGTAAGAGAAAAGACTGTTTGTTTCTAAGGGAGTTGGGATACGTCGTCCAGTGATTGGCTGTCCATGGAACATACGGTCCGGATGCACCTGTCTGGTTCTGCAAAAAAACTGTAGCATCAGTAGACCCTAACGTGAATAAAGGGGAGTAGGATTTGTGAGAGGAAATGACGGGTAGGGGAACTCATGATTTTTTTTTGGCTGGCAGATTTTCTGCGGTAAATCCACGAGCCGGATATAACAACGTATTCCCTCCGGAGTAAAACTGAAAATCGGGTGAGTTAAGTGACTCAGTGGGGACATTAGCATGAGTAATGCATTGTTATGACGGCCTAGGAGAAAACATTTTGGGGATGGGAACACATAATTTCAATTTGGGCAGGAATTATATTCATGGGCGGGAATGTCGGCATATTCAGCTTAACCGCTTCGAGATGAGGCTAGGAGGATATATGGATACACGTCATGTTTGGGGCCGTGATGTTTGAGGCAATAACAGGCGGCTGTGGAGGAAAGGGTTTCTAACAATTACTAGATTTACCCTCTGCTCGAGCGGCTGTGACGGCACTCCGATTCGCCTTTGAATTAGATACTTGCTTAGGTTTACTATGGGTTGCTGGGTTAGTCGGAAGGGATGTTTGTATGCCAGGCATGTTGATACGTTTAAAAACATCAGCATCAGGAATAGTCGAGTTGCCTACGGAATCGACTATGCCATGACGTGGTGAGAACGCAGATGATTTTAATGAGGGCTTATTCAAAATTGCAACAATTGTCGTTATGTCGGTGTTAGTTTTCGACATGTTACATTTGTTCAGTTTTCGCTGCAGTGGCGTGAAGTCCGACGAAGCTGAACAATGCCATTTACGTTAGAAATCTCTAGTGATCTCCTTCCTCGAAAAGATGAAGTCGACTTCTATCAAGGAGAAAAGGGTAAATAGTATCGGTGCATTACGGCTGAGCTAGCACAGTCATTTAGCTTGAGTGACAGTGAAACCCAAGCCACAACTCTGCAGGAACAGATGCCATCCTTCTTAAAACAGATATGTCATTTGGAATGTTTCACAGCATAAAATTATGCTTGCGTTTTATCCTCTCCTCAGGTTCACAGCTTATTACCCCAGAAATTTTAAAAGCTTTTTTATGTGTTTTTTGAAAAGTGCTGCTTAGATCACCATACATCAAATGATTTATCATTTCGACGGCTGATGGTCTGTTACGACCAGCAGAGGCTCCATGTTGAACAATTAAAGGGTTTTGAGGTTCTACATGCGCTAATGAGAGTTTTGAGTCAACCATATCCAGAGAAGGTAGCGAACACATACTGACACCCGCTGTGTCTCCGGTCACGATTCTAGCACTCAGAGACGGCGGAGAGGTCGCGAGCCTTCGTCTGTTAGCACTTGTTCTTCGGGACATTACAGGGTACGATAAAAGTTTTTTCCGTTGCAGTACAAGGATTGAAGCGTTGCTAACGTACAACAAAACTCACAGAATAGCAAATGCTACCGTGGGTTTACTACAAAACTAGGAATAGGCGTCAATAAAATGGCGCTTCGCGAAATGTGGCTTCTTTACCAAACTGTCTAACAAGACTGGGTGAAATCATGCCCAGCAATAAAAAGCGACCTTTAAAAAGGAGTCAAGTGAAAAATAGCGGAATGATCAAAACGAAAAAAGGCGGAATTTGAGACCCCATGTCAGGAGGTTCAAGGTCAGACGACATCAGCATCGCAGTCGTCAGCTGCTGACGGCCCAAAGGTACAATGAATAAGCACGATGACTGTCTGTAACCAACTGACGATCGCAGCGTCCGTTGCAGCGTTAAGACGGCGTTCGGCATAAACGTCTTTTACAAAAAATACCAGACACATATGTCCTGCTTGTGTTCTATTGGAGGCGGAAATACCGCAGCATTCGCTGCAAGAATTTTCTTCGTCCTCTTCACAGAGGACTTCGCCCAATCTCTAACCTTCTACGAAAGGAAAACAGGAAGCCAGGAGTTTTTTGAATCTCCAGTCGACCCCGCCATCCAGCGTAATATTTGTGTTTTGCGTGCTTAATCATGTGTGTTTCAGAGGCTCTCAACAGATGGAATAAGGATAGCAAGTCTGATCGACAATGCCTGAAAAGTGCACTTTGTAAACACAAGACCGTTATCAACAGCAATGTCATATGGCCTACAGAAGCCAAATAACAGTTGGCACTTTGTAATATATTCACGTTATTAACAAACTTTAATTTTGTACTAGACAACATTGTTTTCACTTACCAGTGTTCATTATTTCGCTTGTAGACCTCCAATCCACAACGGACGAATCGGACAACAATCTAGGAGACAAAATCCTCTAGCACATTAAAAAAACCGTCCCCGTCTTACATTTCGTCCCTAATAAACTGGTTCTTTTGCTTAAATGTATTACTTCGTTTTCATTACGAGGTCTCGATGGAAATACTACTAAGGGGGGGGGGGGGGACGGTACAATGAATGGGGACCCCTGCTTGTGTAAAGCGGGAAACTCGGTTTTTAGAACTCGACTCATGCTCGCAATAAGCTTGCAAGTCCGTTTCGTGATCTCTTTCTGGGATTTTTACATCCAGCTCTCAGTGAGCTCAGAAAAATGACCACATCAGACCGCCAAAAAGTTTACACAATTCATCAAACGACCTGTGATTGGGCTCGTTCAGAACTCTTTTTGCTATTAGGGTAGTATTTCCTGTGCTAAGGTTTGAAAATTTTCCAAACGTACTTTTTTTCTTTTCAGAAGTCTTTATGCTAGTCTTTGTTACCGTTTAGTATAAGTTTGATTGTCACATTTCCCAATATTCGCATCCGTACGCCCGTTAATCGGCTTTATAAGATACGCCACTCCTCGCAGATCATTTCATTTCCCTTTGTTATACGTGTCAGTGCATTTTCTTACTCCATAGGTGTACATTTGTTTGGAATTTTCTTCCGATTGAAAATGCATTGCATAAAGAAACCCTGTATATATCTTAGCATACTACATAACCCTGCCAGCACCAGCCCCCTCTGGCCCCCTCATGGCCCCGCCTCATGAGATACGTTAACGTATCTGGGCGCCGCTTTCTTCTCAAACACTTAGCTTTTATACTTTTAGGATGGAACTAACGTAATCCGACTGACAGTTTTGCAGATTCTACTCCATTTAAAAACGGTCATTTTATCTGTCGACTGTCGGTCTATTAGAGACTCTTAAATCCACTGGGTATATCATCTGCCATGGTGGTCCTCTCGGTACTTAACCTAGTCCTTTTATTTTTTTCCACCGAACTGATAATATATGCGTTTTCTTTTTTATTTCGCCTTATTCTAGTTGGAGTCTCTGGTCAGCACTGTTATTCATCGCTCTGCTGGCCGTCCTGTTTTAAATTATTTTAACTTCTCATCATCACTGTACTTGGAACAAACTTCGGATAACAAAATAGTACAATTATAACGGGTCTTTGACTGTTTGACAGATCATTCTTGTTCTAATGGTCGTGTCTCATTTTTCCGAACTACTTCCTAGAACTCACCTCTTCGCGTCTGTTCGACAAGTCTTTAATTATATTGCATTCTTCAGTGGCTTCGACAACTACAGTGGCAACGAATGACCTTGTGAGCTTGCGCAATTTTCAACTTATGCATTATCAGCTGTTGGTTGTTGTCCAATTTGTTTTCATTATATACGACATCTTTGCAAATTCAATCGCTGATCATATTGGTTCCCTCAATGTTCGGTTGCTTGTCGTTTACATGTAACTCCCATTTTGGGCATTTAAACATTGCTTTCAGCCTTCAAGACTTGATTGTTGTATTCGCCGTCATAGTTATCGCCTTACAGCTCTTTAACACATATCTATTTCAAGCTGGATTCATGCGACTATTATTCACACAACTGAGGGGGACTTTTCTTGTTGTTTTTATATACTTCGCTCTTTGTGTTGCAGCACATTCCTGGGGCTTGGTAAGTTGGTGTAGTTTATTTCAAAATGCCCATCACATGTAGATTTTGAGATGGAACAATACAAAACAATTGGTCTCAAATCCAGGTTACCTTGCACTTGTTGCCGGCCAGCGTACATGTAACTCTTTTTGTATTCATATTAGCCTTTTGCAGAGCCTAAGGGGGGCACGATTTCGGAAAGATCTATGATATTTTACTGAGCTGGTTTACGAAATATAAATAACAAGTCAGGTAACATCTCAGCCGTGAAGATGCTGCGCATGCCTACGGTTCGCAGTCGGGGTAGAGACTTAAATTAATTGCGTGTGTACACACCTCGACTGCTTATAAGCAGTCGAGGTGCGTACACACGGGAATGTATACATTCCCATTAATTGTACAAGAAGCAAGGTAATTAACTGCCAACTGACAGGTAGCCGAATGTCTCACTTAATCGACCTACCGGTAGAAGTTTTGCAGTTGACGACAGCAAAAAATATGCTATCTCAGTGCAAACTACTGCCTTTATGGCTTAGTTTGAACGGATGGCGCCCCAACTACAGTGGAAATCTGACCTTCTGGGTTTTTCGAAATCCTCAAAGTGTCATGACAGTTGTCTGACTGTGTAGCAAAATTCGCCTATCATAAATATTCATTTTTGGGACTTCTCGCACAAATCATATGGCTTGTGAACTCGTATAGTTTTATATCATAAGCATGCAAAAAATTGTGTTTACTTTTAATTTCCTCTTCACCTTTAAGACCATGTTTTCCGTTAGAATGTTTACAGCGCTGAAAAATTAACAAAATGGCTTATCTTTAAATTTTTCGGCGGACAAGTTATTTGGAAGAATTTTGACCTAACTGGTGCTACCAATCGTTTACAAAATTTCTGTTAAGACAGCTAGGATACCAGCTGATAAACCGGATCCATCTGACTGAGGATTACGTTATACTTATGTTGGGTAGTCAGAGGCAACGTTTAATAAACCATTTGGGGTGCTAGTATGTCATTGGATATTGTCGAGCAATATGTCCAACGTAAGCGTTATTGGCAGGCAACAGTGATAAATAGTTTTCTGGCATTCAGCCCCTGCATGGATCGAGTCGACCATATGGTTTTCTTTGACAGTGGAATTCACCGTAATATCATATTAACAAACCTACCTCTTATATTTGAAGACTTCTCTAACACCAGCATTTCCAACTCCACCTCCACCACTCTCTTTAATACTGGTGGCATCGAACGTCAAAAGGCCACCAGTTAACACCCTGTTTTAAATGCAATGGTGCGTTTGTACTACACATCGGCCTAATCGGACATTTACAACTCCTCCGCACTAAGACTGGCGTATTGGTTCCAGTGTCATAAATGCATCCTATAAATACTACAACTTCCTGTGCGTTAATCACCCGTATCTGCCACTTTCTCTGATGACGACTTCGAGCGAGAATCCGAAACGTCAGGCGAATAAAGCTCTTGCTCCAGCGAGCGCTTCTACTCATTATCAACTGTTCCTGGAACTCGTATCTTGGTTTGTATCAACTATTATCAAAGGCAGAAAAAACTGTTTTGGTAATACCTAAGCAAATGAGTTCTTAAGTTAATGATGATTAGGCTACGGAATCTGTCTTAATCTATCGGGTCTGGGAATGCCCGTTCGGACGAACAGTGACAAGAATGTGGACTACGCAAAAAGAAATTATAACAGTATTTAAAAAGGCAGTTAATCCTCCAACTTATTTACACTGCTCAATAGTATTTTAGATCTTTGCCGCTTTTCTCTATACTCCATTGACTACAGCACATTCCATAATGTTGTCAAATATTCTCACATGATCACGACGGGTATGACCAAATCTCGTTATTTGTTAGCTTCTTTATGATCTGCAGGTATTAGCATTGGTCACGTTGGTAATTTTCTAGACTTTCTTTATATTCTCCGACTCATCTAGTGAAAATTTGATCGTGTTCTTACTAATTTTTGGAGTTCGAGTGACATGTTATTGACTTCAGGACACAAGTTTCGTTTATTTGTTCGTTGTTTTTACTAAACTAAGTATTTTAACGGCAAAAAAACTTAGAAAAACAATCTTAATCAAAACTGTCAGCCAAAGTTACGCGTGCTGGACCGTTTCTTGCATAAAAATTACGACGTACCATAACGAGGCCTAGTCAAATGTTCTTACTGCCTATGGAAGAACAATGTGTCTCGGAATGTTATAGAAGATTCAGTTTACGTTCACCTTGACAAATCGGCTTTATTTAGGCACCGAAAAATCGTAATAGTGTAATTTCTTAGTTCTTCGGCATCTGCTTATGTCTTTTTCTAGTCTACAAAGGCAACTATTTGATATTCCTATCATAGAGTCTTCGCGAACAGATTGTTGCTTTATAAACACGACATTCTGAGGTTTTTACGCTCTGTGGAGCATTTTAGCCTATTTTGATTGATTTTTGCTTGACTAATGCTTTACCAGTCACCAGTTGGATCTGCACTCTGGAACACTTGATCTTAACAAAGTGCCTGCTGTTAGTTTCGATTTTGCAATGAGTAGGGGCCTGAATGTTAAGCTTCTGCAGTGCAGACATGCTTCTCAGAGTCTGCAGTCAGTTACAAGTAAATGCAAGAGTATTATTATTTTTATATTGCATTTCGGGACAGACTAGGGCTCAGGACGTAACTGGTGGTGTTCTGTTGGTGGTTAGTTATTGCATACCGGTCTCTCTGACGCCCTGATTGTGATATTGTCTATAGCGAGCTTTATTCACAAAATATGATATGATTGCTGATAACAGAGTTTATCACTGTCTTTTTTTGTAAAACTTTAGCTTAATCTTGGGACGTTTCTCGCCCAAATCTGTACTTTAGGACATATTTGGGTCTTTGTGGTTGAACCTCTTAAATACCTGTTCACCTTCTCAACTGCTCACTTCAGTGAGATTGAAACTGATTCCTTCCCTATTTAGGGTCAATTGTATATTATCACTTCTTCAAACGAACGATCTACTTCCTGGGTGACCGCAAACTTTACTGTGATGGTGTCTGGATCCGTTCCAAACTGGAAAGCAAAAACTAAACGGTTCTACGCTCAAGTCTTGGACAAATGTTTTTCTTTATCTTCCTTAAATAAAATATTCTCAAGTCCGCAAATTCTTCTGAAAAAATGTGTAATCAATGATTTTAGATGGATATTCGAGTCCAAGGCACCTGTTGTAATAAGTAGGGGAGAGAATTACCAGGCACTGGGCCTACCTACGTTTATGAAATATCGAAGTCTTTTCGAAGCCAGTGGCCATTAGCACTACTCAGCGACCAGGACTAGCAGTCTGAGGATGGCTACACGTTCATATAATGGCTAAAAGGGTTTTGTAAATCATCAAACGGATAAAGTAAGTAGTCTCAGGTCTCTTTTTGACTTCAAAATGTGAGGAGACTTATCTATGGGGTTTCTGTGATAAAGCAATATTAAAGGTATTTCCCAGTTTGAGTTACCAAACATTGAAAGAAGACTTCAATTGAGCACTTCCTGTTAAAATTATGCTCCTACCGTCGACGGTTGCTAACCCACTAGTTTCCAACTTGCTTTTTTTTCTAAAACTTTGAGACCTAAATAAGTTTCGTGATAGGTGAGTCTTTCTTATGGAGCAGAGACTGGATATCAATAGTTAAATAGCCCATCTAGTGTGTTGTACTCTAATTAATAGCTAAATACTAAAATGACACCGGAGGAACAGGGTGTGGAGCCCCAGTTTTGTGGTCCTATAGTTAGCCTTATCCAAATGTTTCCAAAAACATGAAGTATTTCTCTCGTTACGTGCCTTATTTTTGGTGTAGTTGCCGCTTTACT